GTAGGCTGACATGTATAGCAATGTATCTCAACATCTCAATATTAATTATATAACAACTTTACTTTATTAATAAAGATTGTGAGAAATGCCTCACTTAACAGTAAAAAAAAAAATAATGATAAATAGAAGTAAATAATTTTGATATGAAGTAAGTGAAAGTATTAAATAATAGACTAAATTGTTTTGAAAGAAATTTGTTTATTTGTTAATTTTTCTCTAATATATTGTATATATTTTTTCTTTTATACATGTCTGAAATTTCAAAAATTCTAAAAATCTTTTAAGCTTTAATTAAATTTTAATTAAATGAAAATATTATATATTTATAATAATTTATTTTTTTTATTTCTTTTATAATATATATTAAAGAAATTATATTAAAGAAATAATAATGATAATAATATTTTTTTAATTCCACAATTAAGCTTATATCATTTATTTATTTAACAAAAAACTAAATCATTACAAATATAAGAATGCTTGTAAAATAAAAATTTCTTCAACCTAGTTTATCTGTCAATAGCCAAAGCCTTTAAATATGATTTATGAGATAAAATATTGTTCCTTTGTTAAAAAAGATTAAAATTCTGATATTCCGATAGGATCATAACCTACAGTATACATGTGGCATAAATTATTTTGTTATTGACTCAATTCTCAAAATCCTCAAAAATAATTGTACCATGACTCAATTAATTGCGTCAATTGTGTCAAGGATCAACAAATTTCAGCAACATGTATAACCTACAGATCACCTTTATAATTATGATCATAAATCCAAATTGTATTATCCCTCTTTTATAGAAACTACGTAAGGGGAAAAGGAAATAAAAAAAAAACAGAGAAGAAAAAATAACACAATTATATACATAAGAAATGATTGAAAAAAGGTAAAAAAAGCTATTATATATTCTAATTATTATTGAAAAGATTATTTTAGTAAACTTAAAATCCAAGTTTCTTATGATTTTTTACTTCTCAACACCTGTGATCAGCCAGATTATTTAATTTTCATTAAAGTAATTGATGTTAAAAAATGTTTAAGGGTACTTTCAAAAAAGTATTTCTTGAAACTTTATACTTAAAGACTTCTAACTAGAAGAAATATTAGTTTTTTATTATTAATTTCTCTCTCAAGCCATGTTTTTCTGGAATTATTGTTTTACTCAACTGATAAATAGTTTCAAAACTCTTTTTTTAATTATTTTCAGGATAAATATTAATACTTCAACTTGTTACCAAATTGGAATAGGACCTAGACCTTATTGCTACTTTTTATTTTTAAAAAAAAATAGAAAAAAAAAGAAAAAAATAAATAAATAAAAAAGAAATTATTTTTTTTTATTCACAACTTTTGTATTATCTAATATTCTTATACTATATCTTTAACTAATAACTATTCAATTCTTTCAGAAACCAATTACATTATCGATTTGATATTGCATGATTGAAAACATGTGAGAAGTATATGTCTTGTTTACTTTTCTGTAGCTGATGTAATCAATCAATCCATGGCTTTAACCAATTATCTTTCAGAAGATCTGATGTAACCAAAAATTTAAGGTTAAATTAAGGTAAGTAAAATTCTTTAAAAAAACTAAAAAAAAAGAAACATGCTTGAGAAAAAAAAAATAGAAAGTAAAAAGATTATAGGAAGACTGAAGACTTCTTTATTCTTGTTTTTCTGGATTCTTGAATTTCTTGGAAATCTTTGGAGAGTGTTTTTCTTATCAGTTTTTTTTTAAAAAAGGTGTTTTTGTCATAGGCCTTTTAGATAGATTTCTTGTATTTAGTCACAAAAAAAATAAGAAAAATATTTTGAAATGGAAAAAATAGAACAAGTGGTAGCTGTTGTTTGCTTTGCTAATTAGAAAACTAGTATTGTTAAGTAAAGTATATAGACTTTATTATTAAAAAAAATAAAATTTTTTGAGAATATTTGTTTTTTTGAGTTGGTAAAAGGATTAGCAGAAAGAGTTTTATTTTTGCTATTTATTAAAGAAATAATATTATACATTCAATTAATATATAATATATATATATTGTATATATTGCAAATAAAAAAAGAAATTTATTTATTTATTTATTTATAAATTATGAAAATATAATATTAAATAATAAATAATTAAAATTTTTAATAAAAAAAAATATTTCCAATTAATTTTTATTTTAAAAATATTAATAATATCTTACTAAATTAGTTATTATAATTTTTTTTTAGGAACTAAAGTGTAATATATGCAAGGATTTTTATTGTAGATTAGCAAATTACAAATAATCATTGTATGAACAGTTTAATTTAACTGATACATCACCCTTATTTTAATTAAAATACCAACTTTATATCATGAAAGTGGATTTATACCTGAGTATGGACTTCAGAAAGCTTATTAAATTAGTTATCTTAAAAAATTTTTCATATTTTGTTTATAAAATAGATAGCAAGTCCTATAATAAAACAAAAATCATAAATATTCATATAATTTTTTGTATATAATTGATATTTCAAATTATTATTTCAATAAAGTGAAACAAGACAAATACTTATTTCTCTAAAAAAATATATTATAAAATTTTTCAATTATAAAAAGAATTGATTGTATAAGTTTTAATTAAAAATTATTTATTTTTATGAAAATCAATAAAAGTTGAGTATTATAATTTTAAATAATGGAAAATAAATTGAATATCAAAAGTAATATTGTTTTATTTGACATTACTTTTTAAAAAATCAAAAAAAATCCATAAATTATCAAATGTAAAATTTCAATTAAAATTAAATTATATTTTTCATATATTAAATAATTTGAAATATGTTATATTTTTATTCAATTAACATACAAAAAAAAAAATACATAAATAAATCAAAATTAATTAGACGAAAAATTTTATGTAAGCAATACTAGATATTATCAATAATGTAAATTTGTTAAAATCAAAACAATAAATGGATTGGTACATAGCAAAACCATGCTTTGAAACAAAATCCTTATTTGGAGATATCGACGATTATCAATCTAAATTTATATATCGAACCATATAAAATTAAAAAAACTGCGCGCGAGATTGCGCCAAATTATAATAGATTAATATATATCCTAGTATAATCCACTAAAAATATCAATTTTTATTAAAACCTTTCAGAGCATGGTTTTTGCTGTGTACCAACCCTATAAATAAATTTATTAATTAATAAAGTTGATTTATTATTGTACTGTATAAAATAAAAGTATTGATAATTTGATTATTATATAATTGTTAGAATTTCCGATGCTTTATTTTTCTCCAAAGTTAAAGTTACTGTATACAGTTAAACAACATTGTCGTCAAACCAATATGGTAATACCAACTCACATATTTATACACAATGACAATGTCAATTATCGATCAACTTCTAAGCATCATGGTACGAGGAGACTCTCTCGTTGAAGACTTACAATTCCTGGTTAATAATTCACGTTATAGTGATTTAGAAATTAAATGCAAGGATGATGTTATTCTTTATGGAAACCGTGCGATCCTTGCGGCCCGCTGTGATGTATTCGATAGAATGCTCTTTACAAGAACAGAAAAAACACCCGGCAAGCAAGTCGCATTTCCAAAAATAGAAGCATCGACCATGAAGCATATTCTCAAGTATTTGTATACCGGAATCAGAGTCAAAAATGATATCACGACTGATAATGCTTTCGAAATTTTACAAGCGGCAGATTTCTTTCAATTAAAAAGCCTTCGAGACTATATTTTAGAATATTTCAAAAATATTTGTGAGAAAGAAGATGAAAATCAAGTACCCGAATTGTTATCCAGGGCAGTTGAGCTGGAGCCACCTCTGGCGGAAAATGGAGTTGTTGATCACTTAATCGACTCAATGGCCAAGGTTTCTATAGATTCTATTAGGATTGATCGATTGTCGCTTAAAGGTTTGCAATGTTTGTTATCTAAGAGAAACGAGAAGAAACTCTTTGTGTCTAGCGAGTACTCCGTTATTCGATTTGCGATCCTAGCAGCTGCAAAACAAGTATCTCAGGAAGCATTTAATATATTGGAGAAAAAGTTACCAATATGGAGGGATATTGGAAAACTACTTCAATCTGTCGACAAAAACAAAAATTTGATCGAGAAAAGAATTAGCGCATCGATTGTTGATTCATTGAGGCTTGTCATAAATCACATTGAATTTAGAAGGGTTGATGGAACAATTCTTTCAAAATTAATCGAGCCATTAAATATTGTCCCGAAAGAAAAGATAATGGATTCATATAGTTTTCAATTCAGTAATAAATCTCCACGGTCAGCATATTACGGCGTCCCTTACATGTGGGATAGAAATGACCGTGGTCCGAATTTAACTATTGATAAAAATGGATACACAGTCACAGCGAGTACAACGAAACATCAAAGTGTGAAAACTGTTCATCTCATGAATAGTGGGTCCTATGAATTTCGTGTTCTAATCGAAAAATGGTGTAATAACTTATCCATTGGCGTTTGTGGTGAAGGCATCGACTTTTCTAAACCAGCAGGAAGTCAAACTTGTGGATGGGTTTTAGGCTCAGATGGATATTGCTATAATAATGACAAGTATCTCTCTGTAACACCATCTTTTAAGCGGGATAACGTAAGAGTTAATGTGTACTTAAACATGAATTATAAGAAGGTTGAGGTTACATTTTCTGTTGACGGCACAAAATACTCACCGATTACATCGTGGAATGATCTTCCATTAAGCCTCTATTTTGTTGTTTCGTTAACTAATCCAGGAAAGATCAAGATTTTATCACCGGATGAATGATTCACGAAAATATTACAAATGGTTTCTCTTATAGAACAACAAAATTTGAGTTATCCGTTATCCCTTAGATCATCACGATTCTATTTTTGCCCTTATACAGTATTACGTTAATTAATGTAATTATCCTAATTTCCTTAAAATTGATACATTTTGTTTTACCATTTCGCATATACAAACATGATTATTTTATCCACTTTTATTGATTTGTTATTATTGACTCAATGCAACATACTGTATATGTGATGAGCCGACCATTTTTTGAAGATCTAAACAATATCGAAGAAAAAAAAAGAGTAATAATAAATATTTTAATTATCGACGGCATCCAATTCTGTTGAGTTATAGTTGTTTATAGTGGAAAAAAATCGATTGTTTTTTTTTGTTAAGAATGGAAGCTAACGAGTGTTAACCTCTTTCACGTGAGGATTATTGATTCTCCTATACAGTAAAGTATAAAGAAAATTACTTATACTGTAATAATGTAATACGAACTGATCATCAGTTATAATATTTGTTACGATAGTAAGTTTTATTAGTCCAAATAAATTTGGAAATTTATTTTATTAACTAACGTCTAGATATAAATAGAAATTAAATATAATATATAAAAAAAAATAATATAATATATAATAATAAAATTAATAAAATTAATAAATTCTGCTTTAATATTGCATTACGTAGAACTAAAACTGCAACTTTACAAAGTTTATAAAATTTGGTTATTACTGCTATAAAAGAAATTACTGAAGGTTTTTCTCGTTTTTATACAATGATTTTAAAAACAAATTGGTCAAGCATAATTTGTTAAAAATAACAAATAATTTATTTGAGATTGTAATAATTAATTTTAGTTTCAATTTCTTTTAACCAATTTTTTAAATATAACGTCCTTATTTTTATCCTATACATCATGACATAATATCGTTATTTTTTTTATAAAATATTTTTACGGATTATATTTTTACGTATACTATATAACAAAATTTTTATTCAATGTATTGTAAAAAAAAAAAAAAATTTTTTTTTATGATGATTGAAGTTACTTAAAATCTATATGCAAGCTTGTCAAATATCTTTCTTAGCTTAGTGCGTAAATAAATTTCACTTCATTAAGAGTTTGCAATCTTTTAAACTGTAGAAAAATAAATCGAAAAGTTAACAAAATATAAAATTATAAAGAGTATCGTGTAACAGTAAAAGCAATACGTAGTACAGTACCTGTGATCATACGTAGAAAATGTAGGAATTTGCTCCGCAAAATAAAATTTCATCTACCCACATACATAATTAGCTCTTTATCATTACGAACACATAATGGTGCGCGGAAATTCTCTTAGCGAAGATTTAGAATTATTGATTAATAATCCTCAATATAGTGATTTGGAAATTAAATGCAAAGGTGATGTTATCCTTTATGGAAATCGTGCGATCCTTGCGGCTCGCTCCGAAATATTTGATAGGATGCTTTTTAGAAGAACAGAAGAAACCTTCGGCAAGCAAGTTTCATTTCCAAAAATTCAGGCGTCAGTTATGAAAGTTATTCTTAAGTATTTATACACTGGATTAATGATTGAAAAGGATCTAACAACCGATAACGTTTTTGAAACTTTACAAGCTGCTGATTTCTTCCAATTAGAAAACCTGCAAGATCTTATTTCTGAATACTACAAAAAATTGTGTGAGAAAAAGGATGATGAGAGCAAATCCCCCGAGTTGTTATCTGAAGCAGTTCGGTTAATGTCACCTTTGGCTGATAATGGGGTCATTCGTTATTTAGTGGATTCTGTTGCCAAAATTTCTTTGGATTCTATTAATTTTAATAGATTATCACTTCAAGGTCTACAATGCCTATTATTACGAAGAGATGAAAATAAGATGTTTGAATCTAGTGAATATTCGGTTTTTCGATTTGCGGTTCTAACAGCTGCAACAAAAGTATCTCAAGAAGCATTTTCTGCTTTAGAGAAAGGATTACCACCACTAAATGAAGTAGAAGGATTACTTGAAACTATCAACAATAATAATTTAATAAATGGGGAGATTAGTGAATCGATTGCTAACACCATGAATTCTTTTATGGAACATATTGACCTTAGAAGAATTAATGCAAAAATTATCGCAAAAATAATTGAACCACTAGATATCATTCCATCCAATATGATTTTAAAATTATATCGATTTCATGCTTGTACGGAAAAACCACTATCAGCTTTTTATGGAGCTAACGTTAAATGGGACAAAAATGGCTGCGGTCCAGGTTTAAATATTAGCAACGATGGATATACAGTTAGTGTATCTCAAAATACGGATAGTCATGTAAGTGTAAGAACCAATTACCTCATGAGTAAGGGCACTCACGAATTTCACGTTCTAATCGAAAAAAGTTGTTCTTATGCGTGGGTTGGTGTTTGTGACGAAAGGCTTGATTTATCTACTCATGCTGGATTACAACAATATGGATGGGTTCTAGGTTCAGGTGGATGCTATCGACATAATAGTAAATCAAGCAACCAGAAAATTCCAAATTTCACATGGGATAATGTGGAAATCATTGTGCACCTAAACATGGATAATAAGACGGTCGCATTTTCAATCAATGGTACAAAATACCCGCCTAATACATCATGGACCGAACTTCCACCAAACCTTTATTTTGTTGCCTCACTTAAATATCCAGGAAAGTTTAGGATTTTGCGGTATATTCGAAATCTTTGAAATGAATGATCAAAGACTTTTAGATATTTCTTTTGTCTACATTTATTTTTAGATAAAAAAAATTATTTTCGTGCGTGGCACATAAATATTTGATAAAATTTTTTATACCTTGACATTTAAAAATCTTTTGTTAACAATTAAAAATATACATAACTTGGAATATTAAATGATAATATCAATTATGATCTAAACATAGATTTTAGAAGTGATAAAAACATTACCTGATCTTAATATTTGCATCGCTATTGTCCATTATCTTAAATAACAAGATTTTAAATTAGACTACGTTAAAGAAATATGCAGTACCGTTATATTAGGATATGCTTTAATGCGAAAGACGAGAAAATCTTGCATTTAAAAATATCGGGAATTTCTAAATTCAGAATTATAATTATATTACAACCCAAGCAATAAATAAATAAATTTCTACATTTGAAATTTTTTTATTGGTGATGAGATCTTGTTTTATACCATTTATTTAATAATAAAACAATGTATTTTATTTAATAATATACAGTACAGTGTATAGAAAATAATTGATGATTCTATAGTTAAGAATTTATAGTAAAGTATATTGTTAAATCTTAAAGAATAAAAATATTTCTTTATAACTTTTATTAATTTCTAATAAAAATATTTTAATAACGTCAAAATTTCACAAAACAATTAGATGTTGTAAAATCTAAATAGTTTATATTTTTATAATACTGTATAATCTAAATGTGATATAGTTTAATTTAATTATATTTTTATATTGATTAAATCTCAATGCAAATTTATTTGTTTAATAATAAATAATAATAACAAAATTTTTTAATATTATAATTATATTTTAAATGAAGTATTATTTTCAATAAAAAATTCTTTTTTTAATATTAAGTTTTTATAATGATTTTTTAGAAATTTCAAAAATCAAATCTTTATTAATTTTTTTAATATAAAAAAACTATATTATTTGTTATTACCTTTTTTGATTGTTTTTTTAAATATAATTGCCTTAAAAAAACAAAATAAAAATAATATTAATTGAAATTTGCAACAAACAAGATACTTTTATAAAAAAAATAAAATACATAAGTTAAAAATAATAATAATAATAATTTGTAATTTATTATATTGAAACTTTTGATTTATCATTTAATAAACTTGAAAATTACTAATAAAAAATAATTTTTAGTTTTCAATAATTTAATTTATTTAAATACATTACTGTTTTAACAATATCAAATAAATTAATATAATTAATTAAAAATTATTATTTCAAATTAATTCTATAATTTTATTCTAATAATCAAATAAATTTTAACATACAGGTTTTAATAATTTTTGAAAGCAAATCAAAATTTAAGATATATATTTATTACTTTAAAATTATAATCCTAAATTTCAAATCACATGATATTGATAGTTATACAATTAATTTTATTCTGTTATATTTTTAAAATTAAATAATTTTATTTAATAAAAGATAATTATTTAAAATCTTAAGTTTTGGATATTTATATAAAAAAATGTTTATTAAAATTAAATTATTGATTGTTAATAAAATTATATAATAAAATTGTTATTAATTTTAAATTTTTAACAATAAATTAAAATATTAATATCTTTATTATTATATATTTTATTTAATAAAAAGGTATTTATTTAAAAGTTTAAGTCTTGAGTATTTATATAAAAAAAAATTTATTAAAATCAAATCCTTGATTATTAAAAAATTATAGAAATAAATTATTATAAATTTTTTAATTTAAAAATTATAAATATTTTTTTACATCTAATTTTATAATTTCAATTTTCATTAAAACTCTTTCCCACTTCCTCTTTCTACACTTGAAAATTTTCTTTTTAGGAAACTTTTGAGTTGTTTACTTTTTTTTCATTTTTCCCTTTTCTCTTTCTTATATACTCTTCTTTCTCCTCCTTTCTACAAACTTTTATTTACATCATATCTCTTCTTCTTTCTCTTTTTCCTACTAAAGCTAGGTTTTTTCTTTCTTCTAAAATTTTTTCTCTTTAGGCCTCTCTCTCCTTTAAAATATCACTTTCCATTTCATCACTCCTCTAATCTGTTAACTTTTCTCTCTCAAGAACTGATCAAGAAATGATAACTTCTCTCAAGATATGGGCTTTGGAAAATTTTTTCTCTTTCATAATTTTTTTTGAAAAGAATGAATAGTTACCTTTCAAAAAATCAATATGACCATCATTTCCATATTCAGTATTGTTTACTTATTAATAGTTAAACTAGATACATCTAAGAAGCCACTGTACAACTATTGTTACCTGAACTCCCAAGAAGTTGTATCCCATCATATCTAATAATGTGAAAACCAATGCCAATGTAGAAATTCTATATATGCCAGGTTGGTGGCTGGGATACCTAGTAAGATAACACATGATGACCAGGAATTTTAGTTACCTCACAAGCAAAGCTGATGATAACAATAAAAGTTTCTCACTTACCTTTCAATAATATAAATCTTTATACATGGTTAGGTATAATGTCTATAAGAAATTTTATTACTATTATCACCACTATCCCTTAAATTGTAATGCAGGCAAATTTGCCTGCATATTTAAAATTTTAATAAGTTTTTAAAAAATTTTAATAAA